GGAACAGCAACTCATATTCCGCTTGGGAACCCTGCAGCCCAATGGTATCAATGTGGATTTCACAAGCTTCAAAATCTCCCCTCCCCCTACCGCATCCCAAAACCAGTCCAGCTCGTCCCTGCCTCCCTAACCTGTTCTTCCTCCCACCTATCCCCTCCTCCCACCTCAAGCCGCACCTCCATCTCCTACCGACCAACCTCATCCCGCCCCCTTGACCTGTCCGTCCTCCCTGGACTGACCTATCCCCTTCCTAACTCCCTACCTACACTCACCTTTCCTGGCCCCATCCCCGCCTCTTCGACCTGTTTGTTTCCTCTCCACCTATCCTCTCCTCTATCCCTCTTCTATCCGCCTCCCACTCTCTCCCTATTTATTTCAAAACCCCCTTCCCCTCCCCCTTTTCTGATGAAGGGTCTAGGCCCGAAACGTCAGCCTCTCTGCTCCTATGATGCTGCTTGGCCTGCTGTGTTCATCCAGCCCTGCACCTTGTTGTGTCGAAGATCTAGTGTATTAGTTTTTTAAAAAATTTTACCTAGTGTGTATTGAAGTCTCTCGTGCACCTTACTGAAATGCAGCATATGTACAACACAATTAGTGACTTCCCTTTCTATTGCATTTTTCACAACCTCCCGAGATGCCCCCCAAACACCTTCTGGTTCCAAAGCGTTGTCACTGTTGCAGTGCAGGAAATGTGGCCAATGTGCACACAGAAAGATCCCACAGTCAGCAATTATGATTTTGACCAGATGAGCTGCTCTTGTGATGTGGATTACCAAAATGAAACTGCCTTGGCACTTGGGTGGAGTAAACGATTGACCACTTGAAGGGCTTCAGTTGGTGGCAGTGTGGTGTATACTCCCCCACACCCTCCCGGCCCTAACCCTAAAACAGACTTTTTGGCCCAACTTGTCCATGAAGAACAGGTTTCCAAACAGAATTAGTCCCATATGCCTCCATATCCCTCTCAACTTTTCCTACCCACGTACCTGTCCAAATGCCCTTTACACGTTGTCATTGTACCCATCTCTACCACTTCCTCTGGCAGCTCATTCTATAACATATGCCACCCTCTGTATGAAAATATTGCCCCTGCAGTCCCTTCTAAAATTCTCCCCTCTCGTCCTAAACCTACACCCTCTGGTTTTGGACTCCTGTACCCTTGGGGAAAAAGAGCATCTTACCTTTGCCCCTTGTGATTCTAAAAACTTCTATAAACCTCCTATGCTTCAAGGGAAAAAAAAAGTCCCAGCCACTTCTTATAGTTCAAACCCTCGGGTCTTTGGGATTTTATAAACCTCTGTAACCCTTGTCGACGGTAGTGTTCATGTGTTTGGAAGGAGCGCTGGTGAATTTCTGTTTCCTGACTGACTGCTGTGTTACCAAAGACCCAGCCCTTTGCATTTAACCTCTGGGTAAGAGCTGAGCTTTCAGGGCAGCCCTGACTAAATAAAGTAACGGCAGGGAAGAGTCACTTCACTTAGTCATTTGAAGACTTGGTCAATGGCGGCTTCACTTCCTGTGGGCCCCGCAGGAGCTGGGCCAGCGATGTCGTTCAGCCAGAGCAGTGTGAGCGATGGTTGTTACAAAGGCTGCATTGGAAGGAGCTGTCTTGTGAGAGTTGGAAACATACGAGGCTGGGCTTTGTGCTTCAGTGAGCCGCAGGATCAGCGTTGGCTTGTTTTCAGGAGATTTGCATCGCTAACGACTGCGTGCCAGCGACTGAAGACAGCAGGCGCGAGAGCACAGCCCAGTGCGTGAGCTGCACTCGTGATGTACCTGTTGGGGCGTTGGGGGGCACCGTCAGTGGACGTGACCCCCCCCCCCCCTCCCCCCTCTCGCCCCTTCACCATCTCCCCTCGCAGGGAGAGGAAAGAGCCTGACACAGGGGGCAAAGGAACCTCGCCTCTCCGACCCCAAAAAGGGGGCCGTTTGTCGTCGAATCCTGGTCAGCAACAGTTCCCTTTCTCTTTGCGGAAAGGCAGGGATCTGGGCCCGTTTTCTGCAGCGCGCCTGGGCCGAAGAATACAAGAACCAGGAGCAGGAGTAGGCCGTCTGGCCCTTCGAGCCTGCTCCGCCATTCAATAAGATCATGTTGAAACGCGGGAAAACCGTACAGGATCTAAGAGCGGCCCATTCAGCCCGTCTTGTCTGTGCCCGTCTAACCTCCGTCTTCCAGCTGTTGATTTCTAGAGGGATGTGGGAAAGTAAAGATTAGGTGGAAGAGCTGCCATGATATAGCTGGATGGTCCAGTGGTCTACCCCTGCTTCTGCTTCCTGTGATCCATGGCCCTGTAGGTTATGGTACCTCAAACACATATCTGAAGTTTTCTGGGATAGTAGGAACTGCAGATGCTGGAGAATCTGAGATAAGGTGTAGAGCAGGATGAACACAGCAGGCCTCCCCACCTGCACTCACCTTTACTGGCTCCATCCCCACCTCTTTGACCTATCTTCTCCTCTATCCATCTTCTATCCGCCTCCCCCTCTCTCCCTATTTACTTCAGAATCCCCTCCCCCATTTCTGAAGAAGGGTCTAGGCCCGAAACGTCAGCCTTCCTGCTCCTCTGATGCTGCTTGGCATGCTGTGTTCATCCAGCTCTACACCTTGTTATCGCTGAACTTCCCAGATTGAATAAAGGGGAGTTGGGAAGGTGGTAGAATTGTCACTGGGCTAGAGATCCCAAAGGCCCAGGCTAATGATCTGTGGTCATGGGTTCAAGCCCCACTAGCTGGAGAGATTTAAATGCAATTTAATTAAAATCTGGAATTGAAAGCCAGTGATGATCACGAGAGAATCGTTGGTTGTCACCTGTTTCACACCTGTCCTTTAGGGAAGGAAATCTGGCCTACATGTGACTGTAGGCCTACAGCAAGGGGAATGAGGGATGGGTAATGAATGATGGCTTTGACACATCCCATGAAAGGATAATGTGAGCCAGGAGTGCAGGGTACAATGTCTAGTCAAGCATGCACAGTTGCTGAAAGTAGGGAGAGAGTTAATACTTGGGCTTCCCTATTGCCTTGTGAAGGGTGAGAGGTTGGAAGAGGTCCCTTACATACAGGAATAGTTGAAGAACCTCCTAAAGAGAAAACTAATTTGATGAAAATCTTCAGACTCATACAGGTGACCATGTTGCATTGGTACTTGGCATGCACATGTACATGACATGAAAAAAGACATATGCACACGTGCATGCACGCGCAAATGCATGCACACATGCTCACATGCCTGTCCACAGACACACCATAGATGCATGCATGAGCAGCACACGCACACACGCGCAGGCACGCACACACTCAAACACACACACAGGTGCAGACACAAACACACTCAAACTCACACACACACACAAACACACTCAAACTCACACACACACACACACACAGTCATGCGCAAGCCATGAATGTTAAGCAGGCTAACATTTTGTAGACCTTGTTTGGCCCGTGTGGAACTGAATCCTACACTGGTTTTCGAAACCTGTTTGAAACTGTCTACAGCTCCACTGTGGCGTTCCGTGTACATAAAGTGAAACATTTTGTCTGGTCTGTTCTTTGCCAATCTAATTGACTTGGGCGGTTGAGAAGAGATTTTAGTCAGTTCCAAATAAAGATTCACCTATTTACTTTTCGAAAAGAATACACTTGGAGTATATAGCATTCAGTAATCTGCTCAGATTGCTGCTTGTAAAACCGTGCTGGGCATGTGTCACAATGCAGGCTGCTTTCAGGCGACTGCTCGCTGCTCCTGCAACAGAGGGTAGCCCCACTGGGTTAGCCATGGGGATGAGAGTCAGACTAATCTGGGGCTCTGACTGTAGGTCCCGGGATGGGGGGCATGCAGATAGTGGACATTGAGTGAACAGATTTTATTTGTAAGTATCTGAGTGAGTGTGGAGGAGATTAATGGGCAAATACAATTCTCAGGTGGGCATCGAATAGCTGTAGAGCCGTTCCTGAGCTGTCAGACTGGAAATATTCCCACCGTTTGAGTCAGGAGGCTGCCTGCTCTGTAGCATGCATTCGGAACAGAGTTGGCTGCGCAAGTGCAGGCCATTCAGCCCAACTGAGATATGGCAGTGTTTCAGCTCCGTGTGAAACTCCTCCCATTCCTGCTCTACCTCAGTTCCTTTCTCCATCCTTCCTGTGAATTAATTGCAACAAACAACTCTAACGGCGGCACATTGGTAATGTCCCTGGGTTGGTAAAGCAGAACCTGAGGCTCATGTCCTGGGGATGAGAGTTTGAATCCCACCACGGCAGATGATGGAATTTGAATGCAGTAAAAAAGTTTATTAAAAAGCTAGCCCAACCATGATCCTGCCGATTATTGTAAAAATCCCTATAGTTCACCAATGTCCTTTAGGGAAGGAAATCTGCCGTCTTTACCTGGTCTGGTCTACATGTGACTCCAGACTTTCAGCAATGTGGTTGCCTCTTGATTGCACTCTGGGGCAATTAGGGATGATTTCGGGTTAGTAAATGCTGGTTTAGCTAACGTGCTTGTATCTATGAAGGATTTTTTTAAAAAAACCGAGGTAACATACACCTTTGGGTTCTCTCTGTTTTTCAAAGTGAAATGCCTGTACACACTGCAGGTGTGTTAATTTACACAAACCATTCCTGATTGTTAGAGTGTTGCAGAAGTTGTGTTTTGGGGCAATTATTCATCATTGCTTTTTTTTTTGGAAATCTTTTCCAGCTGTGAAACTCAGGACAGAAGGTAGAGGATCAACATCCCGGGTTTGAGGTGAGATTTATTTCTAATCTCTGCTCCCATTGGATTAAATACTCAGTCTGCAATGCTGTGCTTCACGTTTCTTGTTAAATACTTTGGTGTGGAGAGCTTTTGGCGTTTTTGGAAATTTATTTTTGTGTACGAAAGTGATGACAGGTTCCACTGTTGGGAATCACTTAGCTCATTGTTTTCCACAGGATTAAATGTACAGCACAGGAGCAGGCCATTAGGCCCAACTCGGTTAGGCCCCACTTGAACATCCTCTCATCTTTCCCCTTCAGTATTGATCATCAGAATCTTATGTTTGCTTTTCCCTCATCTGTTTTTGCAGCGTGCTCTTAAATGCATTTAAATCTTCGCTTCCTGTGATTGACCATAGAGAGCAGTAGAAGCGGAGTCATGGACTACTTTTTAAGGCAGAAGTTGTTAGATTTTCTTTACTAACCAGGGAGTCCATGGGCTCATTGGGAATATTGAGGCCACAGTCACCTCCTGCATGAATTTATGGAATGGTGTAGCAGGATGGAGGGGGCTGAATGGTCTGCTCCTGCTCCAAATTCAATTGTTCGCATGCGACAGCAAATTCGTTGCAAGAAGAAGTTCCTCCCGAACTCTCAATTGGATTTCGCAGTGATGATCACATCAATGGCCTCTTGTTCATTCCCTCTCGAGGAACGCCATTCCCTCGGAATCCACTTGATCACAACTTTTGCAGTTTAAAGTTTAAAGACACCAGTGGCTCAGTGGTTAGCGCAGCTGCTTCACAGCGCCAGGAACCCAGGTTCGATTCCACCCTCGGGTGACTGTCTGTGTGGAGTTTGCATGTTCTCCTGTGACTGGGTGGGTTTCCTCCTGCAGTCCAAAGATGTGCAGGTTAGGGTGGATTGACCATGTTAAATTGCCTATAAGTTATCCAGGGATGTGCAGACTAGGTGGATTAGCCATGGGAAACACAGGGTTACAGAGGTAGGTTAGTGGGGTGGGTCTGGATGGGATGCTCTTTGGACGGGCAGTGTGGACTCAATAGGCTGAATGGCCTGCAGTAGGGGTTCTATGAATTTGGTCATCTCCACCTGCTTCGGCCTTCTCTTTGCTCAAACAAATAAAAGTTTAAAACGTAGTGATGCCTCTTCTATTTCTTTTCATCAATTGTTTTGGAATGCTCTTGTGTGTATGAAAGCTTGAATCAAACATCCTTTTGTGGAGGAATGTGGACATGACAGCAATAAAAGTAAACACTCAAATATTGGCTTGTAAACTGATGCATGTATTAACTCAAAAGCAGTCTGCATAAACTGTGGTTTGTTCTGCATGACTGCAACTCAAATCAAAATGCTTACTTCATCCAAGACTTGAAAGAACCATTGTGTGGCTGCAGCTTTATTCCTGACCAATTTATTTGCTGAGATGTGTACATGTGTGTGACTTCAAACCATCCCCAGCTTTGAGTGGCTGCCGAGGAAGAAGATGATTTGGGTGGCTGTGTGATGTGTCTGTTTCCGTTTCCCTTATCCTAATTGAAACCTATCTTTCGATTGAAGGAAGGAAGATTTGCATTTATGTAGTGCCTTTCGTAACATAGCTGGATGCCCCAAGTGTTTGCTGTTGTAGAGTAGGAAACAGAGCAACCAATTTGTGCGTAGCAATCTCCTTGAAAGCAGTGAGATCGTGATCAAGTGATCTGTTGTTTTCAGCAACATGAATTGTACTTGTATTTGCATATTGCCCGGGACTGTTTGAGAGGGAAGGTGGGTCATTGGTTTGACAATTTCAAAGGAACATAGAGGCATAGAAATGAGGAGTAAGTTTCTGGGCCCTTTGAGCCTACTCCTCCATTCAATGTGGTCATAGCTGATCCTCTATCTCTAAAGGGTGGCACAGTGGCTCAGTGGTTAGCACTGCTGCCTCACAGCGCCAGGACCCAGGTTCAAGTCCACCCTCTGGTAGCTGTCTGTGTGGATTTCCTCCGGGTGATCCGGTTTCCTCCCACAGTCCAAAGATGTGCAGGCTAGGTGGATTGGCCAAAATAAATTGCCCGTAGTGTTCAGGGATGTGTAGATTAGGTGGGTTAACATGGTAAATGTGCGGTTATGGGGACAGGGCAGGTCTGGGTAGGATGCTCTGAGGGTTGGTGTGGACTTGTTGCGCTGAAGGGCCTGTTTCCACACTGTAGGGATTCTATGATCCATGATCCTATTTCCGACTTTCTTTCCAAACTCTTGTGGCCTTTAATATCTTCAAAAACAAAAGCATCTTTTCCGAGAAGTGACCTCATCGCCACAGCTTTCTGTGCCAGAGAATTCCACAGGCTGACCATTCTTGAATGAAGAACTGTTTCCTCATCTCTGTCCTAAGTGGCTCACTCCATGTCCTGACACTGTGACCCTGGTTTTTGGCTCGAACCAGGGGAACCGTCCTCCCTACATTTTGCCTACCCAGCCCTGTTCGCATTTTATGTGTTTCAATCACACTCCCTCGTCTTCTAAAGTCAACCCTCACCCAGCCGTCAAGTCTCATCCAGAAGACTTCTCCGACATGCCAACACGGCCTCTGTGCGCCATGTGGGCGTCGCTGGCTGGGCTGGCATTTATTGCCCATCCCTAGTTGCCCTTGAGAAGGTGGAGGTGAGCTGCCTCTTGAATCGCTGCAGTCCTCCTGCTGAGGGAATTCCAGGATTTTGTCCCAGCGACAGTGAAGGAACGACGATATAGTTCCAAGTCAGGAGGTTAATTGCCTTAAAGGGGAACTTGCAGGGAGTGGTGTTCCCATATATCTGCTGCCCTTGTCGTTCTTGATGGAAGTGGTTGTAAGTTTGAAAGGTACTATCTGAGGATCTTTGGTGAATTTCTGCAATGCATCTTGTAGATAGTGCACACTGATGCTGCTACTGAGTGTCGGTGGTGGAGGGAGTGGATGCTTGTGGATGTGGTGCCAGTCAAGCGGGCTGCTTTGCCCTGGATGGTATCAAGCTTCTTGAGTGTTGTTGGGGGCTGCACCCATCAAGGCAAGTGGGGAGTATTCCATCACGCTCCTGACTTTGCCTTGTAGATGGTGGACAGGCTTTGAGGAGTCAGGAGGTGAGTTACTCGCTGCAGTATTCCTAGTCTCTGACCTATTCTTGTAGCCGCTGTGTTTATGTGGTGAGTCCAGTTGAGTTTCTGGTCAATGATATCATTGGAAGGGCCACAATTTATTACTCATCCTTAATTGCCTTTACTTGAGTCACATGTTAGGGCCATTTTAGAGGGCAGTTGAGAGTCAACCACACTGAGTGTAGGCCATTCATGGGATGTGGGTGTCACTGGCTAGGCCAGCGTTTATTGCCCATCCCTAATTGCCCAGAGGGCAATTAAGAGTCAACCACATTGCTGTGGGTCTGGAGTCACATGTAGGCCAGACCAGGTAAGGGTGGCAGTTTGCTTCCCTAAAGGACATTAGTGAACCAGTTGGGTTTTTCCGACCATCGACAATGGATTCATGGTCATCATTAGACTCTTCATTCCAGATTTGTTTCTAATTGAATTCAAATTCCACCACCTGCTGTGGTGGAACATTACCTAGGTCTCTGGGTCTGGAGTCACATGTAGGCCAGACCAGGTAAGGATGGCAGTTTCCTTCCCTAAAAAAAAATTAGTGAATCAGACGGGCTTTTCTGACAATCGGCAATGGATTTGTGGTCAACATTAGACCCTCAATTCCAGATTTTTTTAAAAATTGAATTTGAATTCCACCATCTGCCATGGTGGGATTTGAACCCGGGTCTCCAGAACATTATCTGGGTCTCTGGATTAACAGTCCAACGATGATACTGCTAGGCTATTGCTTCACCCAGGATGTGGGTAGGGGTAGGTGCAGGTGCGTGCCCTGAGGTGATGGTGACAGTGACAGATGCAGGACCAAGCGATGAGCTGGAGTCGCCAGGTTACTGCTCTGACTTCCACGTCGGGACTTGTCACCAACTAGTTTGCATCCAGCAGCTGGGAGAATGGGAATCTTGTATCACTGAGACCAGGTGGCACCCTAGTGAGAACTTACTGGATGCTCCTACATGTAAATAGGCCTCTCGCTGCTCACCAGTGAGAATCTCATCTCTCCACTCAACACTTGGTTGTAAAACGGGGTTTTTAACTCTCGGCAGCTCCTCATTCTGAATCACTTGAATCTCCCAGCTTTCTCACTGATGCCACTGTCATTTGGTGCATGAGGAGGTTCTGCCCAATGCTTCTGAAACCATGTTGGTTAATGTGAAAGTAGAATTACTACATTAGTATTAGAGCTGGTGCCCTGTGAATAAAAAAAAGCTCCTAAAATGTGTTTGACATCCATTGTTTACACCATTGGAGAACCGGTCAATTGGTGTCACCTCTCATGAGTTACAATAAACCCTTCTTTGGTTACGATCACTTTTTTTACATTTCAGGCAGTCAAATTAAAAGTTTTATAAGAAATAATGCTTTAGAATCACAGAATCCCTACAGAATGGAAGTAGGCCATTCTGCCCATTGAGTCCACACCAACCCTCTGGTGAGGATCCCAACCATACCCATCCTATCCCTGTAACCCTGCATTTCCCATGGTCAATCCACCTCGCCTGCGTATATTGGACTGTGGGAGGAAACCGGAGCACCTGGAGGAAACCTGCACAGACACGGGGAGAATGTGCAAACCCCACACAGACGGTTACCCAAGGGTGGAATCAAACCTGGGTTCCTGGCACTGTGAGGTAGCAGTGCTAACCACTGAGCCACCGTGCCACCCCCTACTGCAGCAGGGATCACTGGCTGGCCAGCATTTATTGCTCATCCTCAATTGCACTTGTGATGGTGGTGGTGAGCTGCCTTCTTGAATTGCTGCAGGCCTTTGGGTTGGATAAAGCCACAATGCTGTTTGGGATGATGTTGCTGGATTTTAACTTGGTGACAACGAAGGAATGGCAACGTAGCTCCAACTCAGGATGGTGAGTGGCTTGGAGGGGAACTCGCAGGGGGTGGTGTTCCCATGTACCTGCTGCC